TATTCAAATAAAAAGTAGCTTAACCAGCCTTTTCCATACAAACAATTAAAATCATTAATTTTTAATATTCTTAAAGTATTTATTGTCGAATTAGATTTGATATGATAAAAGTATTCAGCTACAAAAGTAAATAATTTTACTTTATAATTTATTAATTTTTTAACTCTATTTGTGTGTGCTACTACCAGTCTATAATATGCCAAATTTTTTTGTAATATGTTGCTATATAAATCATAAATTTAAAAAAAAAATTACAATTATATTTTTAATACACTCAATTGAGTAAATCATTTTAACAACTTTTTTTTTTTTTAAGATATATAATCATTAAAATTAATTAAAGACTGAATATATCCATTGTAGAATCTTTTGAAACACCAAAAGTTAATTAGAAATGATAACTGTAATTTTTATTTAAGTAATCTATTACGATAAAAATGTAAAAAAATTGAACTTTTCTGATAATTGTACTATAAATAGTAATTATAAAATTTCTTGATTGCATATTAATCTTAACAATTTCATTTTTTTCTATTTAATAATGTCAATTTCAAACTTGTAAGTTGAGCTAAAAGTTATGGTAATTTTTTTAGAATTAAACACTATCTACAGATTTGCATTGCATCGTTTTTTTTTTTTTTGATAGTGATTTTAATCACTGTCAGATTAAATCTATACTTGACCCAACTATGCCGCGACCCCACTGTGCTGGGTTTTTTTAAAGTGATGCTTATAGTAGTTGTTTAATATTAGCTATGAAATTACTTTCCTAATTATACAAGGTGATCAATTAAGGATAAAAAACCATTTTTTTGGAAATTATTGAATAAATGAAAAAGTTGAACGATGCAAAATGTCAACAATAATGTTAAATGTTTACTTTCTTAAGATTAATATTTTAACTTGTATATTTTTAGACAGGAATGGTTTTAAATATTAATAAAAGTTATTTTTTGTGATTTATTGAGCTTAAAATGTTGTAGTTTTTTAGCTTCGATGCGAAACTGAGAAGGTATTGGTTTTAAGTTATTGAATCTAAATAAGATAAATATCAAATGATTTGAAAATTTTAATCTAACTCAAAAAAATATGCAAAATTTTAAAAGCCACAGTCGGATTTGAACCTAGTACCCTATGCGTTGTTGCATGATAAAATTGGCTATTTAAGCTAACACAAATTTAAAAATTACTTTTTCGACTTTAAAAAAGTAAAAAAATTTTAATAAGTTTAATTTCTTATGTCTTATGAACGTTATTCTTTGTCAATTAAATTATAAAATATTCATTAAAGTCAGTGTATTGCCCTTATAAGATATTTTAAAATAAAATAAAATACAAAACCCAGGATTTTAATACAAAAATAGCATATTTTTGAATACGGCAGCCATTTGCGCATAGAAGATAGGTCGTCGGGACAAATTTTTTTTTTTAATTATATAGTACATGACAAGCTTTAATTTGACATATGTTTAAAGGATGCAGTATTTCCGGAACATTTTCAATTCAAGTCAAGTTAAAAAAAANGTATTTCCGGAACATTTTCAATTCAAGTCAAGTTAAAAAAAATAGTTTTTGTAAAAAAGTTGCTATTTTAAATCCCCCCTGTGAGCAGAATAAGTGTTAGATTTTCAAAAAAAATGATATCAAATGAATGGGAAATATCTTAAGTTTCAATACAAAAAAATATTATTTTGATTTGTTAATATTTGAAAAAGTTATGGCAATTTTAATTACAAAAAAAATTCCGATAGAAGGTGATTTTTATCGCAAACATTACATTTTTTTTTTAATTTCGACAGCCATTTGCACATAGAACATAAGGTGTCAGAACAAATTTTTTTTTTATTTTATAGTACATAAAATAAGCTTTAATTTGATATATGTTTAAAGAACGCAGTNTGAAATAAGCTATAATTTGATATATGTTTAAAGGACGCAGTATTTCCGGAACATTTTCAAAAGTTCAGTTGAAAAAGTTCTATTTTTTATACAATGTTTCAAGTTTTGAACGCCCCCTATATAAGGGGAAATTGTCTAATTTTAATAAAAAGTATGTCAAATAAAATATGTACTTATAATATATTTATAAAAAAAAATTTGTGCTGATATATACATTTTTCAAAAAGTTATAGCATTTTTAAGTTGAAAATTAAAAATCAAAAATCGAAAATTTTAACACAAAAATAGTGTTTTTTTAATTACGACAGCCGTTTTCATGCAGAAGATTGTAGTATATAAAATAAGCTTTAATTTGATATATGTTTAAAGGACGCTGTATTTCCGAAACATTTTCAAAAATTAAGTTGAAAAAGTTAGTTTTTGTAAAAAAGTTGCTATTTTAAATCCCCCTCCATGAGCAGGTTAAGTGTTAGATTTTCAAAAAAAAAAAAAAAATACATCATGTTAAAATTAATACCTTCTCAGCTTCGCATCGAAGCTAAAATACATTAACTTAAATGATAGATAATAATTTTAATAGGCATAATTAATATAAAATAAAGTTTACCTTCGTTAAATAGTAAACATGATATTAACAACAAAATAGATGTAATTTGCCTATTCTACAATAAAATAATATTTTAGATTACAAATCAAGGACTAATTGCAAGAAAAGAATATTTTACTTACCTCCATATTTACTGTAAGTGTTAAATTCTTTTGTTTTACATGATATATAATATATTGAGTCACCAAAATAATTATTTTATTTCAAAAGAACATTTTAAGTAAATATTACAGTATATCTTTATTAAATTGTTATTTTTAGTCAAATTATTTATACAGAATTGAATACATTAGTTAAATAAGTATTGACAAGACAACTATCTGTATTTACAAAAAAAGATAATTTATAAAAACAATTTTATATTTTTACTTGATCAAGTTAAAATAAAATCAAACTGTGCTTTAAAAATATATGAACAATGAAAAAATAAAATAAAAATACTCATGTTTGTAAGAAGAGTATAGATTCTACAACGGTTCTTAACCTGTGGTCCGCTGCCCTGAATATATGTTCCTGAAATACTGCGTCCTTTAAACATATATTAAATTAAAGGTTATGTCATGTACATACATGAATAATACATGTATGAAAAAAAAATTTTGCTCGACACTTTAAAGCCTATAAGTAAATGAAATTGCCACCGAAATTAAACAAAAAATGTAATATTTGCAAAAAAAATCAGCTCCTATCGTGATGTTTTTTGTATTTAAAACTTATTGAAATATTAACAAAAACAAAATAATATTTTTTTATATTGAAAGATTAGGTAATTTCCTTTCATTTGATATCATTTTTTTTGAAAATTTAACACTTATTCTACTCACTGGATGGATTAAAAATAGCAACTTTTTTTACAAAAAATTAACTTTTTCAACTTAACTTTTGAAAATGTTCCGGAAATATTCACAGTTTTATTTAATCTTAAATTAAAGCTTATATTATATACTTTACTAAGAAAAAAAAAAATTCGAAATATACATTTTCTTCTTGGTGAAAATGGCTACCGTATTCAAAAATATGCTATTTTTGTATTAAAATCCTGGGTTTTGTATTTTATTTTATTTTAAAATATCTTATTTGGTGAATACACTTACTTTCGTGAATATTATATAATTTAATTGACATAGAATAAAGTTTATAAGACATAAGAAATTAAACTTATACAATTTTTTTTACTTTTTTAAAGAAAAAAAAGTAATTTTTAAATTTTAATTAGCATAAATTGCCAATTTTTCAACCAAAGTAAGTGACGAATAGATTCCGAATTGGTAACACATGTACACTTCACGCTTAGGGTACGAGGTTGCCGGTGGTAATTAATACTTTGCTTTTTTTAGTTAGAAAAAAATTTTCAAATTTATCTCATTTAGATTCAATAATTTCAATAAATATCAAGGATCCCATTACTATAGTCTCCCTCGTGAGAAGAAATTTCTTATTCATGTTAATATTATTTTACTATGTGGTTTTTATTTTTGTGACTAGAATTTATTTAGCCAACCCTCACTTGACCTAATTTTTTCAACAATATGTCAAATGATTAAAATTCGTATTTGATTGAAGATATTACTCTTTAAAATTGAAAAAATATTCCTTATGTAACTAAAAAGTAGCTTAAATAGCTTTTTCCATAGAAACAATTAAAATCATTCATTTCTAATAATTTTAAATTATTTAATGTCGAATTATATTTGATATGATAAAAGTATTCAACAACAAAAGTAAATAATTTTAATTTGTAATTTATAACACAAATTTGTAACTAGAAGATATGTGCAATAAGTACAATATACCTTTGACTAAACCTAGAATTGCCTCATATCAAATTAACCTTACTGACATTATAAGCGACTCTATAGCAGATTATTATAAAATTATTATTTACAAACTATACCTTATTTTATATATTATTCATTTTCAAATTCGCTTCTTCAAGCATTGTAATATTTTTTCAAACTTCCCATGTCTTTTTCTTATTTAAACAAAATCTTTAGTCAAATATTTTTGTAAAAAGTTATTTGAAACTTATTGTTCAATTTTACACGATGTATATCTCTAGTAATTTCATTCATCACTATAGAAAATAAGTAATGGCTTAAAGCAGGATTTTGGTGCACTCTTACTCTTAACCTACAGCCTTCTGTTTCTCCTCCCACATTTTACTCTGGTACAAGTGCTATTATGCATATCCTCTATTATATTAATGTACCTTTTCCGAACTCCTTTTTTATTAATGCCAACATTAAAACCTCTTTCAGTACTCATTCGCTTTCTCTGAATCTAGAGATGCTATACACAGTTTTTTTTCCAATGGTGGGCATTAACTAGTTTTTTTTCTAATAAACTTTTTCATTTAACTAATTTAATTTTCTATTGAAATAACTTAGTTATTTCAGTAAATTAGTTAAAATAATAATTAACCTAAATTCAAAATTTCATAAAAAATGTATGTCTCTATTCGCTGCGTACATAATTCAATCTTAAAACAATCGAATTTTTTCATATCTCAGATATTATATTTATATAACAATAAATATAATTTTTTCAAAAATATATATGATTTTTTTTAATAACTAGTTTTAAAGATAATACAGTGCAACCAACACCAATATGTACAAAATGAATAAAAAAAATTTTTATCTTTAATATTTTCTTCCTATTTAGTTCAAAATCGATTCTTAACTTTCCCTTGCGTCATCAACTAATAAGAATTGACTAAGAGATTTTAGCTTAAATATTAATTTAAAATGAAATAAACTTTTTTACACTGTAAGTTAAAAAAAAAAAATTAACATTTCTTTTAAATTAGTTAGTTAAATATATAATTAGGTAACTTTTAACTGTTCATTTATCGACGTTATTTACACGTAAATAAACGTATAAGACGTTATTACATTTCCCATCATATACTGGTTAAGCAAGATGGTTATGATCTAAAACTACGTGTTGTTTGACGCTTCTGTTTCAACGAATTCAAGGTGATCCATGAATAAAATTGACAAAATTCTTTTTAAGTCACGTCTTAAGAGATATGTTTTCACAGTCGATATAGTCAAAATGTATCAGTAAATTTTTGTATGCGTGGAAGATTGCATGTATCAACATATTTTATGTTGTAGGTTTCCGACGGAAGAAATCCAGGAATTTTAGCTCCTCATAGTTACATATAGCGTCAGCTCAGTGTCCTACCTCATAATCCGATGTTTACATGGACTGGATGCTAAAGATTGCGTCAAATATCCCTGGGCCAAATGAGTCCTCTCCAATACCACCTACTTTGACGATATTATAATGGGTGCTAACACGAAAGACGATATCCTGTTGGTTCAACAAGATGTTATAGGTTTACTTGGTTGAGGCACTCACGCGATCTGAGCTTGACCATTAGATTATGGTCGCAGTACGAATGACACAACAAACTTATTTTTCTGTGTTATTTAAACAATTGCAAAGATCAGATGGTCGTATAACCCCTCTGACTATAGCTCAGCTTGCGCCTTNATGTTATAGGTTTACTTGGTTGAGGCACTCACGCGATCTGAGCTTGACCATTAGATTATGGTCGCAGTACGAACAGACTTATTTTTCTGTGTTATTTAAACAATTGCAAAGATCAGATGGTCGTATAACCCCTCTGACTATAGCTCAGCTTGCGCCTTTACTCGATGACCAAGGAGTTATTCGAGTAGGTGGCAGGTTACGTTACTCTTCCATAAGTTATGACTAGAAACATTCTGTACAACTACTAAAGGTCTCATTTTAACACTATATTAATTCAACATTATTATCTTAGTTTTCTGCATGGAGGGTCAAGACTGATACTTGCTAGGCTTACTTACTAGGCTAATTTACTTACGTAAATTTTGGATTTTATCTGGATGTGACGCAGTTTGTCAAATTATCTATGATTGCGTAACATGTAGGGCAAAGGCTTTGCACCCTTCTTCGATTATAGGCGGCTTATCATCACCTCGTATCGAAATCTTCCATCTTTGCATGTCGGCATGAATTATGGCGGCCCGTTTATATTTAAAAAAACCCGGCGATGCAACACCAAGACGATTAAAGCGTACTTATCCTTGATTGTCTGCATGTCCATAAAATCAGTACATCTGAAGGTGGTCTTCGATTTGACCACTGAAGCTTTCTTGGCAGCGTTAGATAGATTTGTCGCACGCCGAATTGTCCCGTCTAGTATTTATTCGAATTGCGGCACAAATTATATTGGAGCAGCATGTCAACTAAAGACGATATTTAACTATCCGAAGACATAAATTCAAGCATCAAAACGTGTGACCTCTACTTGGCATTGTAAGAACATTTATTACTATGTTCTTACCACTTATATTACACACGTTTTATTTCTATTTATTTAATTCGTAATACATATTAATTAGCATAGAGGGAGATGCTGATATGACAATTCTACTCGTCTGTAGCCCGGAGCTACTGACGTCGAACTAACAAAGGACAGTTGTGTTTGAGTGGCCGTTATAGACATAGTTTTGAATATTATTAATTACGTCTTATTTATATTATTTATAACTTAACTTGTTTTATTCAACGACCCGTCTATCGCCAATTGTCATCATAGCCAACCAACTCCGTCTCACTTGGATATACCTACTAACCAACTGTACTAGGATTCAGGTCAGACGTATTGTACATTACATATAACTTATATTTACTAAACATCTAAAATATAACTTTACTTTGTCGTTGACATAAAACAATAGTCTAATTTTATTTAATAATCTATCCTCTGTAACTAAGGTACACGATTGCCTGTATCTCCTTCAGGCAATTAAAACTCATTTAAGGAGATAGGGACGATATTTGGGCAGACGTCGGGTAGCTTCCGATTCTTGGTTTTGACCAAGATCCTCAACTATTAAACAAACCCCTAACAGCATTTTACCCGCTAGCAGCACCTCACTTTGGTGGACTGTGGGAGGCAGTTATTAAGAGCGCTAAGTACCACATACAATTATTGAATAATCGGTAACCAGGCATGTATTGTCGAAGATTGGACACATTAGTCGTACGTATTTAAGTAATCGTCAATTAGAGATCGCTCACACCAATGTCAGCCGACCCTAATGACTTGTATACACTCTCGCCAGGTCATATTTTAATTGGTTTTAAACTAATTTAAAAACTAATTTTATCACTGCTAAAGAAAGAGTTAATGAACGTTTTAATGAACCGATTATGTCGATAGCACCTTATTCGACATGCTATTAGTCATTATGGAAACGGAGACAACTGAGTACTCTCAACTTTGCAAGGACACTTCATATTGTTTCAGCAAATGCCCAATATTCAAGTCGGAGATCTTGTGATTGTCGAAGCACCTAATCACCCACCCACTGACTTGCAAATAGGACGAATAATTGCCAGGCGACGATCAGATAGTGCGTTTAGTCACTGTACGCACGTAATACAGTACTTTAAAAAGACCGGTCCTTAAACTGGTTAAATTACCGGTAACAGACTAGCGGCACTTTCTTTGATTTAAGTATTTTATTCTATTCCTAAAATGCACTCCTTTTTTGGTATTATGACCATTTAATATTACAAGTTGTTTTTAGTTTTTAAGGAAAACCCTACTGTTTATAAAACATCTAATGTTAATTTTTTTTTTGTTTTTGTAAAAATTATTACCTACTGCCCACTCCTTTCCTTTATCTTTGAAGAACGCCTAGATGTTATATGTTAAATTGAGTTTCTTATCGGTTTGATAAATGTTATGGTGTTATTTGTCTTCTCTGTATCCGGAGTTTCACAATATTCATCACCTCCAAACGGCAGTAGGTAAATATAAAGAATATTTTTTATTGTTTGTTTAAAAGATTATACAATTCACATAAAATATTCGTATTAGTTAGAAAAAGGGAATTTTGTTATTTATTAATTAGTAATTTGTTCTAACTTCATTTTATTTATTTGTTTTTTTAACTAAAATATCATTTGTTACTGATTATATCTGTATTGTTTTTAATTTATTATGTAAGGCTCAATTTACAATCTTAGATTTTTCCTTTCTTTTCAAATGCGTGGACATATTCATTAGTTACAAAAAAGTTTACTAGTCACAAATCATCGATACTAAAGGTAAAATATAGTCGGCATTGCACAGTAATAAACAAAAAATTAGTAAATTATATGTGGTGAAAGATGTGGACTTGTAGCTTTTAGTATCTAGGGGTTGAACTATATTTAGTTATTAAATAATAAAATATCACTACCTCACCATTTTTTATTCTTGTTTATTATGTGAATTTTTAAAGAGTAAAACATGAAAATACCTTATAAGAGTATAAATTTTATCTTTTTTAATGGCAACATACATAACTAGTTATAAAAATAAAAAAATATCTAATTAAGAAAATGGCTGGTCTAATATAATTTTTGAAATAATACATTTTTTAGTATTTTTATTATGTTGGGAGCTCAATGTTTGCTTATTATTTACATTTTTCTCAGAAAAATTTAATTGATGAGCAATAAAAAAGAGTTATTTATAGAACCGAAGAACTGAGATATGGCTTAAATTTTTTCTAGCTTAAGACATTTTTCTTAAGTCCGTTGCTGACAATAAATTTTTGAATAATATTATAGTAATCCATAAGTTACGAATAATTATTAAATTAAAGTATGATAACACAAAAAAAATTATACATGATAGTGTAAATCCATTACCTTCTCAGCAACGCATTAAAGTTATAAATGAAAATAATGCATACATATGTAAATGTTTTGAATAAAAAAATAGAAGTCTTAAACGCTACCAATAATAAAATTTAATTACTAAGTTAAAAATATTTTGAACATAAAATATACAAAATATTTAAGGACACTACTAAAGAGAAATGTGTAATAATGTAAAAATCGAATTGATGTTTACTAATTTGTGGAATTTTGTGTTTTTTTTATCATGAATTAATAATAAAATTTAAATATATTTTGTACATTTATAAATTGTTAAATACTGTTAATGTGAAGTTATATCATTGAAAATGAATTCTAATTATTTAATGAATATTTAAAATTACTATGGCACTAAATTATGACTGGCGTGCGAAAGTACTCGCACACAGGAGATACTATCAGTACATAATTTAGATGTTTTAAAAATAATTTTAATATCCTAACTATAATTGGGTTAACTGATTTAATAAAAAAATTACTTTAAGCTATTTAGGAATAGTAATTAATGGAAAAAAATAATTTAAGCTTAACAGCTACGTATCGAAGCTAATAGTTGATAAATACAATTTATAAGTTCATGTAAATTTAGAAAATGTCTCTAGCAAAGTAAATAATTTTTGATAGAAATGCACATATTAGTGATAATGAATTGTTATCTGATTAGTTAATTTAAGTATCATTTTCTATTTGGATTTGATGAATCTGCATCTTCATTACCATTTTGAAACACTTTTCTAAATAACAAAAATATTACTTTAAAATGTTTTATTTTAAATTTCTAGCTATACGGAAAATAGCTAGCCGTTTATTATCATAGAGTTTACACAGATAAGGATAAGGATTTTGTAAGAGGCTACTATAACTTTTTATGATCCGTAAAAAGGGAAACAAAGACAAACTAGAAATGTACTAGTAGTGTTTATAAAGTTTTTCTGTGAGAGAGAAAATACAAGTAAACATTGTTATTAATATTGATTGAAAAATAATATTCCCTTTTTACGAAAAAAAATTGTATTTTCAAAATGTAATTACTTTTGGTCTATGGGAAATTATGCATTGACTGTAGAAATATTAAGTGTTATTATTTTTCACACACAATTATAAGTATTTTTTTTTTTTAATCAGCTTAAATCAGCCAAAATAGGCTTACGTTGTTCTGAGTCGAAATAAAAAAAAATGATAAAAATTTATCATAAGTTCCTTATATTTATGTGCGTCGATATTCCTTATTAGATTTTCCTAGAATTGCTTTAAAAAATGATACGATCACATTTGCATGTGCCCATATCTCTGTCTCCCATAACATCATTGTACCGTTTAATAGACATATATATATATAATTAACGCAGTGACATACAAAAATACTAACAGGAGGACGGACTGCACGCATAAACACTTTTGCAATTCACGGCCAATGTGCCATAATAAGATATCCCTATCGACAGTTGACCTTTTACCATCATCGCGACCACTACTTTTGTCTTACAATTAACTTAATTTTACTACCACGTATATAGTGTGTGTGTGTCGCCGACAGCTCCTTGTTGGATTATATCATCTCTAGGTGTCCAGTAGGTTGTATTATCTATTTAATATTTCAATCACTTAATAAATATTTATTTATATCGTTGTTAACCAAGAGTGTTATATATACATTGTAGTGCGACCCTTGGTAGTTCCTCTAAGGGAATATAAATTAAATAGGAACTCTCAGTACCTAAGGTAGATATAGCCTAGCCAGCTATCCCCCGTTGGTCCATTAGAATACTGTTAACGGGCATTTAGGCTCAACCCCTAAATAGCGCCGTAATAATTGATGGAGGCGCCGATCTCTCTGTTTTATTTTAAACTTTTAGTGAGGGATCCCCCTAAGTGTACTACAATATTTATATACCGCTTTTCACGGTTAATTTATAAATTAGATATTTTTTTTTTATTTATTATTGGCTCACTTTATTATAATAGTAACAATTGCATAGTTAGGTATAACTATAAATTAAGTCTTTGAGTTACATAATCTTTTATATACATTTATATGCCTCTCTATAATTATTATTTAAAACGCACCTTCAATAATCACACTTGTAGAATTACCGGAAGAGTTTGGAATTTATTAGGTTTTGATAGTAATATTTTGGAATTAACAGCAGATCAGGTTATTAGTTTATTTGAAAAGAAAAGAAGTATTTCTGTTTCTAAGGCTTTTGACCATACCGCTTTTATAAAATTTCCGGTAGGAGCAACTCTAATCTACGAAAGCACTATATTCGAAGTTTATAAACGATAAAGTAAACGGCAATATTTACCGAACAGTTCAAACAAATCTCCCTTTTAGAAAAAATTTAAAATTTAAAAAAAGATACGAAAGGGTATTATTTTTGTTAATGTACAAAAGGGGAATTACTTAATATTTGTCATTTTTAAACGCAGAACAGCCAATTAATAATTACATTAAAGATTTGATAAACAAATTTCAGAAATTTCGTGTAAGGTCACCGTAGAACCTAAACCTATTTTTGCGCAATCAAAATCTTTAGAAAATAAACCAGTCAAATTAATAACTACTATTGCTAGCTGAATTTTACCACAACAGTTCTCGGGTAAATTATCGGAGGATATTATTAGATTTTTTTCAAATTTCGAATGGGTTGCGAAAGCTAACGGTTGGGATGATAATATGAAACTCGTTATGTTACCACTTTCCCTTAAAGGCCAGGCACAGACAGTGTTTGAAAATAAAGAGGCAGAAGTGGATGTTCCTACTTGGCAGGCAATGAAAAATGTNAGGTGGACGTGCCTACTTGGCAGGCAATGAAAAATGTGCTGATTAGATATTACAATTCAGAAGTCCAGAGAAGAATGAGACTTAAGAAATTAAGAGAGAGGAAAAAAGAGGATCATGAAAGCATTTTAGATTACTTTTCTAATGTTAAAGCCGAATGCAGGAGATTAAACGAGGATATGTCAGAAAGTGAAATAATAGACACAATTTTAAACGGTTTGCCCGACCAATATTTCGAAATAGTAGGTTGGGTTGACGTTAGTTCATTATCGGTATTAGAGGAAAACATTATAAAAATAGCGAGCTTAGGCATAGACAAGTAAATAGACGATAATAAAAAAATACAACAACAGCTTGACATTTTGACAGAAACCTTTCAGAAGAATCTGAGTATGAATTCGGGTAAAAATAAGTACAATGGGAATAATAGCAGGAATTTCAATAATAATAATAAGAACCTTAATAATAACAGTAAAAATTTCAATAATTATAATAATTTTGGTAACAACAATGGCAATAATTTTAACAATAACACTAGATATAATAATAAATATCAAAATTACAATAATTCAAATCTAAATACAGACGGTCATTTTTACAATTCTAATAATAATAATAATAATAATAATAATAATAATAATGGTAACTATAAAAACAATCGCAATTTTAATAATAATAATTCTTATAATAATAACAAATTTTCTAATAATACAGGTCAAAATTATAACAATAATAATGGTGGGCGAAATCAGGACGCAGGAGTTCCGTCTACTAATAAGTGGGCCCCAAATCAGCGGCGCCCGCAACAAACTCAAAAAAAACGAATAAATCAAAATTCGATGGTTAGGGCAAATTTTGACACTCCTTCGCCAAAAAGTTCAATCACCAGCCCCCATTACGAAAGCAGCGTTAGCGCAAAATAGTTTAAATATCATTGGTGACTCTAATTGTTTTAACATTTTTTCAAATTGCGCATCGGTCTCTCAACCTATAATAGTTGGGAAATTAAATTGTATTGAGTCAAAGTTTCTCATTAATACGGGGGCATCGATTAGCATAATAAGTGCTACACTTATTATGAATCATGATATTATTCTAGCCCAGAACGCGACCCTTACTAATTTCAATTGAGGTAAATTTCTGAGAGCATAGTTTTATTATTGAATGCGCGGTCGTTAAAAACTTAAATGAGTATAATCTTTTAGATAATATTTTTCTACACAAATATAAGGCTAATATTGATATGTATGATTCGAAAATTATTTTATTTGACGGACCACACAGGGTGACCGTACTCTTCGAAAAATTCAATTCTAGCAATGTCGCAAATCATATTCTTTCACACAAAGATTCAACCAATGTTTTCATTGAGTCTACAGCGGCTCGTATGCAGGTTTCAAAAAATATCCCACGATACGGCTTTTGCGGCGTAAATACATTAGTAGAGGTGTTGAAAAATAAAAATATTAATGTTAATTTTCATGATATTCAAGTATTACTAGGCGTAGATTCTGCAAGTCAGCCTGTCTGGCTTGAGGCAGAAGATCTAGCAGCCGTCGCGTCATATTACAATAAAAATTTAATTATACTTTCCCAAGATAACAATCGTTCGGACGTAAATGTTATCGTATTTACAGAATTCGATCGAGGTAACGTGTTTGTTTTATTTTCCCACTGTCAATGGTCTCCATTAGAATACGTAAAAAATCCTAGTGTTAATTTTAATATTAAAACAATTGTGCATATTAATGAAAATATTTCAGTCGCCGACAGGCGTAAAATTCTGAACTCCAGATAAAAAATGTATAATTTCACCAAACACTTCAAACAAAACGATGCGTCAACACCAGACGTACACCTTGAATCTCAGGTAAACGAAACATGTTTCGCGGAAAAATAAACAACATCTTCTCTAGCAAACTTTTCACAAGATGTCGAATGTTAGAATACTGTTGACGGGCATTTAGGCTCAACCCCTAAATAGCGACGTAACAAATATAAACCCTATTATTTAAATATTATTTATACCTCTTAAATATAATTACAGGATCTTGATTCTTCAATGCAGTTTTATCATTTTCATGTGGAGTATTATTGAAATTTTCATTTTTTGAAAAAAGTCGTTCAGTTATTTCTTTAAGTTCATCTTCTAATGTGATTTGTTCATTCTTTATAATTTTAACTTTTGGATCATTTTTCTCATAGTGATCAGATAAGTCAACTAAATATAATAATACATTTTTCTGTAAAAAAATCTGTATTTCTTATGATGAATGTTAGGAGGTTTTGTGTGGGATTATTTACGTAGCCATGAGGGAGTACAGAGGTCATGACACTTCATTGACAACAAATGTAACACTAAATGAATTGAAGAAAAAAAAAAACAAAATGGTCTAAAATACGAATATGAAATTATATTTTGAATTTTAATGATAATTATCATTATAATTTTTTTTTAATATGAATCCCGTCATTTAGAAATCCTGGTTACGTCACTGTATAGGGTAAGTTAGTTATATGAGGTAGATTATAATTAGGGCTTTTAATGGGCTAATGCGTAAGAACAATTTGTGCACTTTGAAAAATATAAATTAATGAACAAAGAAAAATGGAGTTTCAACTAGTGAAAATATTATGGTATCTCAAATTTCTTTTGTTCATTTTCAAGTTTAGATTTGCGGCTCTGTGTCGTGGCACTCGTTAATCGTATACAAAGCTAGCTTTAATTATTTATAGTTTCTCTTAAAAATTTACTTTTTACGCATACGAATGTAATACTTACATCCATTAAATTTATAGTAAGCCATTTTAATTCCATGTCTTGTCATTTGATAAGCTTTTTTGGCTTGATCTGGATAACAAAGTGCAGTAGTAGATATAGTACCAAGTGTGCTGTATAAGGTTTTTTTAAACTTCCCTCGTCGCAGAGCTAATATGACACCTGTCACACCGCCAGTCATTATAAATGCGCATCTTAAATGTAAATTTTCTTCTGCTCTTAACTTTTCTAGGAATTCTATTGATTAAAAGTACATTTAAGTTACATAAAATAAAAAATAAATAAAAATCGAAGAATACCTTTACGATATTCATCAATGTTGTCTTTTATTTCGCCAATTTTGAAGTAAATATTATTTTTGAAATTTATCGTTTTATTGCCTACATTTGTTATAGTATCATTAATGATTTTAGCGATTCTTTTTGGGTCATCCATCGAAAGTTTTATAGAATTATTGTCCGTTTTTTCTTCACTATCATTAAATATGAAGTATGAAATCAATTAGTAATAGTACAAAGGTTATTTTAAACCATTCAATATTATTATATATTATAAATTAAAATCAGCACCTTAAATATTTATATATAACCATCCAATTAACACTAATTTTAAATTTAAAAGCTTAACACATTTGTTAAATGATTAACTAACGAAAGTCTGTGTAATATAACTAAATGATTGAAAAAAATTACGTAATACGTAAAATATTAACCTATGGCTGATTTATTTAAAAGTTAATTCTTATAAAAAAAGTGATTTTTTTTATAATCATTTGAATAACATAAAAAATGTATATATATATGCTCGCCAAAATAATGACGTCCCTTAATCACATAAACTTCATAAATGTAAATTAATAAAATCTTATAATAGAAAGGATCACAATGCATATTATTTAGGGTAGTCCTAGATATTTTTACAAATATATTAATTTTTTATATAATTTTTGAAATATTTTGGTTTACCATTTATAGTATCATTATTATACTATAGAATTATATAAATATCAACAGAAAAATTATTTTTATATTTAAAAAAAACCCAGCACAGTGGGGTTGCGGCACAGTAGGACGTGGAATAGTTGGGTCAAGTATAATGATATCTTACAGTGATTAAAATCACTATCAAAAAAAAAAAAAAGGCTGCGATGCAAATCTGTAGATAGTGTTTCATTTTAAAAAATTGGTGAATTATTCCAAAAGCTACATTATTTCCTATCTCCTTTATTTATATCCTGATTACAAATTTTATGATTATAAGTGTAATATATTTATTATATATAAATATATAATGAGAAACAGTTTTATTTAAAAAAAAGTATGTCAAATGAAAGAGGTACATAAATAGTATTTATCATAAAAAATTGTATTGATCCATATATTTTTTAAAAAATTATAACATTACAAAATTAAAAATGTAAAAAAAAAAATTTTTTTTTCAATAATTTTATTTTTTAATTTACTTTGATGTCCATTTTTATCATGAAAACTAAATAAGTTCGAAATTTTTTTTTTCATAATAAAGCTTTAATTAAGATTATACATCAATCAAGTCCACGAGACAATCACAATTAACAATTAATTTAAAATCTTCAGATTACCAGATCACGCTAGGTTTACTAGACTACTATCATCTGATTATAAAAATTCTTTATTTCCTGTTAAGACCAATTATTTCGGCAATTTAATAATACACATTATTTGTGACATATTTCTCAAGATTCTCACTCTCTTTAATTTAAATGATACTAATTAATTTTAAAGTGAATTTATTTTGGTGAATCTTTGTTCATTAAATAATAATATTTTATTTTATTTATCATGAAAATAAATGTCAATTATTATTTTAAAAACATCAAATATTAAAAAAAAAGTTATTTTATTTTAATAAGAAACCCAAACTATGTTTAAATATTCATTTAATAGTAAAAATTTATTGTGAACTTTTCTTACTGAATAGCTAGTTTCGGAGCTTAATGTCGTTGTTTTAAAGAACATCACTCCCGCAGACAAAGTAAAGATTACAACTAGATATTATTCTTGAATTAGGTACGTTAGTTTAGAATATATTTGTAAGTCTGTGATTTTGGGTAGGTAGTCTTGGAGCATAGTGTCTTTGTTTCATATTACTTCATATAATATTATGCGACTAATGATTTAAGGTAAGTGCAGATTTAATTTATCCTTCAAACCACAAATAATTTGTTACGTAATAAACCATTTAGATAAATTATAGAATTTGATAGATATATTTAATACAATTTATCTAATATTAATAAACCTCCATGATCACTCTACTATTTTGTTACACCCATTAATTTTATTTTAGAATTTTATTTATTTGACCCCTATATGTCCAACTATCGTTTACTTATCATTTAATTGATAGTTTTTAACATTCTCTATATTATTATTATCATCCTACGTTATTTTTACTTTAATGTACTTTTTATACAGTTTTATTATTTTCTCTTTTGGTTGATTACAAAATTATACTTATTAATAAATTAAAAACATAATGATGATAATTTCATTATAGTTCAAAAGTATAATAATAATTTAAAAGAAAAGTAATGCATTATATTCAGTAGAATATAAGTTTTTAGATTTGTCAAAACATATTGGACCACCCTGTACATCTATATTTTTATAAAATTGAGTTTTTTTAATACATTTTTTGAAAACAATTTCTAATTTTTATTTCAATTACATTTTTTTACATTGCTTACTCTTGTGGGCATTTATTTTCCTCTGAATAAATTGGCAATTCACTAATTCTGAATTTTTTAGTAGAACTCTTTAAATCATTTTTTTTTTTCTGGTCATCTATATCATCAGCAAGGTATGTCATGAAAGACATAGGACAGTTTGGTATGATTATATTTTTAAAAAACTGAAAATGTATTAATACAAATTATATATAATATACATTTTAATATTAAGACAATCACACAAATTATATTTTTATAATAAATGATTTTTACCTTTGTAATTTTCAATCCAAAAGACATTTTGTTGTGTGATAATTGATTAGTATCGGGTACAATAGGCATTGTACATGTATAAACTCGATAAGTGTCAAGAGAGACTGGGACATCCAAATCGTTGATATTATTAGAAAACATTTTTTTTAAATCCGATCGTCTTAAATTGTGTAATGACTGACAGAAACTGTCGTTATTTATATTGAATTCATTAACGGTCGGTTGATTGATTGGTGCTATAGTTTTCATCATCATTAATTGTTCATCTGGTTGTACAGCGAAATCGTCTATGTTGCAGAAGTACTTCATATCGAACATATTTGTCAATTAATTTTTATAAATATATATATTATTTTTACTTTAATATGTTTAATATTATAATTGAATAGCAACGTAAATTAATTATATAAAACAAACAAGCATATATAGGTATATTAGTGATCACTAGTATGATAATATTATAAAGCCAATAAAAGTGTGAAAATTCATAGATCTTTTAATAAAAATTAACTAATTTTTTAAAATAATCGGTCAAATTTTAGAAATCTCGGATTGATTTCAAATTTTTTATTAAATATTGGTCTACTGGCAATACAAGTTAATTATTACAAATTTTGTTCTTGTCATATCGAACAAATATTGTTTAGTAGTAGATTAAAAAGTTAAAGTCAAAATCTTACAAATATTATTGAAATAAATCACTAGAGTTCTAATACTACTCTATGATTGGTAGTAAAACTATTCCCAGGAAAGTTTTATAAGTGTCGTACTCATTTATAAATTATATTGCAAAATTAAATCATAATTATAAAATTTTGCCGTCCATCAGTGCTAATAATATAATTTTTTCATATTTCTAGCTTATGCTCAACTTGTAATGACTCATAACCTACCTTATCTAGTCTCCTCAAAGGCTAACTGATTTCTTAACTTAAAATCATACTAGATAAAATTCACAGAATTGAATATTAGTTGTATATATGACCTTTTGTTCTTTACATCACAAAATTTCTTAATAAATTGTACCTATTGGTACTTAAACTAATTAGTTTAAGAAATATCTTGCAATTTTTAGAACAGAAGTAGGTTTTAACTACTTAATTTGTAAAAGTAATTTATTTATAGAAATAAGTACATTTGAATTTCAGTTGTAAATAGCACAAATCATTACATGTTTTATATTTCAGTTATAATTTTAAAGTATGTTATTTAATTAATTCATAAATTTATATTTATGCATGTTGCTTGTTGAAATCACTATGAGCTTGTAAGTTTATTACCTATTGTATTAGTCTATTTTCATACAAGTTGAACTTTTAATAGTAATACTTGTCTTCAAACATTAATTTGGAAGTCATTTAATTTCATACATGTTTTGTTTTCTAAGTTGTCAAAATAAACATATTCAATTGTAATTATAGAAATAGATCAGTTTTGTCTTTAGTTTAATTGTCTATCTAAACTTTGTCTATCTAATTACCCTATATACAATCTAATAGAAAATATACAAAAAGTTTTGGTCATTTAACTAGTACCAAAGCCTTGATCTTATATTGTAGCACTGATCACAGTTATTTATAATTTGATAATTATGTTGATTTCAATAAAATTAAAATTATAGAAAGTTCATATCAACTTAGTAAGAGCATAATAGGTGTTTAAAATTTTCAAAAAATTTAATTAGAAACTTAGTTGGTCTATCAGCTATTGTAGTGCGCCTACATTCATATTAAAGTTATGGTAACTGCGAATGATAATTACGTAGTGTAAAAAATAATAAATAATTTTATTACATTTTTTTATCATTAAAAATGCTTGCAAACAATGGTCTAATAAGATGCATAATTTTATTATTTTGAAAAATTTATCATCTCCTTTATTTTTGAAATTATTTTTAATATGGCTATTAATAGTTATGGCAAATTAGATTTTTGGCTTTTTCAGGCTAATTTTTTCTTTGTCTCTATTCTATTACTATTTTAGGAACATTTAAAAATACATTTTTTACTTTTTAAAAAAATCTTGGAATATAATAGCCTACCCTAAAAGAGGAGAAATTTATATATTGTTATTACGGACTAACGTCTAAAATAAAATAAAATATTAAAGAAAAAAATTTCACAAATTTAATTTTACTTTAATAAAGTGATGTTAAAAAGATAGAATTATGTGAAATGAAAATACATTATTTTTAATTATTATTTTTTTATTAAACTGTCCTGTGGATAGGGGATAATAATACTTCCACTGCCCCTCTGCCATTCGTAAGAGGCTACTAATGAAGTTGCGTCAGGTCGATAGCTGGCGTAAAATGTTTTGTTAAAAAGTATGAGGAGTCCTGAACAAAACTTAGGTGGATTATCCTATCTTGCATGTACGCGGGAACAACAGGTGAGAGGAAATAAAGTAGTTAAAAACGGAGAAAGCTTAAGGAATAAAGTGTTTGATAGTGAATATTTGTAGTGTGATATGTTTGAAGTGGCCGAATCCAAGTAGTTGAGATTAAGGCGAGAAAAAAAAAGATTTTCTTATTAAGCAATAAATACTATTAGCTTCGATGCGAAGCTGAGAAGGTATTGGTTTTACTAAGATGTATTGTTTTTTTTTTTTTTTTTTTTTTTTT